TAAAATCGTAAATGAACATTTTAAAATAAGTGTGAGTGCACATAATATACGGTTTCCTGATCAGGAATTCCAATTCGGAAACTTGACTGTACGTTATCACATACAGAATGTTCAAGGAGGTGCTCATTATTCTGTTTTTTTTCAGAATGTAAAAATAGTTATTTATTATACAAGAGTGGAAAGTTCCTTTTTAACCGCGTGCTCGATTTGGATGACCGAGCAAGCGAAGGATTCTAAAGTTGAATCACGAGCGCAGCGAGTGATTCTAAATTAGAATCCTGAGCGTCAGCGAGGGAAACAAACGAGCACAAGGTGAAAAATCTTTCCACTCGAGTGCAATACGTAACTTTTCATCCCACCTCAGCGAGGAAATGACAAAATGAAAAAGAAAACAATTTATAATGACAAAATATTTAAGCAATAAAACGTGAAAAACTAGAATGGCGCGAAGCACGCAAATAAAACAAAGAAACCAAGAAGGTTCCAAATTTAAATTTTTTCACAATTTAAAAAGTTCTAATCATAAATTTGGCACCATAGAGGTTACATTAAATAGGTTTAATGACGTTTTGAATTTACAATTATATTGAGTACTCATTATATGTGATGTTCTAAATTCAAATCTACTTTGCCGCTCAAGCGAATAAAATAGAATTTTCCAGCCAGATTTCGAAGCGCAAAATTACACTTTCCGAGGTGGTGGGATGAAAACCTTATTATCGGTTCGTACTCTAACTAATAAAAGAAACGGAAACGTCTGCGCTAGGCTCACGGAATTCCGGGTCAGGAAACCGTACGTGTGCGCCCAGCCTTAGTGGTGGCCACAAATTTTAAAATGTTAAATGGTTTTTTATTTAGCTCAAACTCTCTGAGTTTCAGTGCATAATAATAGATGGCATACTTACGAAAAAAAACGTGAATACCTAAAGTTACTGAGAAACGAAAATGGCGCCTTTACATAGTACTGCCTAATGGCTGCCCCATTGTATATCGATATTTTTTATAAACATATTTAAACAATATTAATATATTTTAATCGTCATTATTTTCTAATTGTTTTATTATAAAGCATTTTGCCCTATCGACATACCATTTCTCTCTAACACTCGTTCAGGTTGCCTATGGCATTAAGTCCGCCGTTTGCATATGTATGGCAATGAAGTTTAAATAAATAAATACGACTTATTATTCCAACACCCTCTGTCGACGACTACCATCGCAAGATAGATTCTATATAAAATTTTATCGAGTTCACAAATTGAGGTTTTAGAAGTTAGTAATTCTATGGGAAGATTAAAACAAAAGAGAGAATTTCGATATCAGAATAAAATAAATTATTACTAAAACAAAACCAACTCGGCCAAGGTATTAAGGCTGGATTATCAGGATAGAAACTAAAAAAAAATATTAAATAGAGTTAACAGAAGATTTATTGGTTTTACTTATTGATTAATCTTCAGCGACGCACATAGTAGAAGACTGCCAAACAACAAGAGTTATTGTCTGTTGTGAAATGATAATAGTAACTATGATTAAAAGAATAGTAAGAAACAAGGGAAACTTGGTTACAATTAAGAACATGATAACAAAAATATATTTAATCAGTTTTTCGAAAGTTTTACCTCTCAGACATTTAATAATGAACGAATTTTTAAATATGGCAAAATAAAGATGAAAAAATAACTAAATATATATTTTCGAATTTCATAAAGTGGTAATAGGTAGTTGAACTTTTACTACTTAATAAAACCTATACAAATCAGCGCACACATTTACATGTACATACCATAAGATGTTAGACATTCGCATGAATTGATTTAAACCCTCGTCACCGTTCCAATAAACCGAATCTAAAGTTGTTAGTTATGAACAAAATGTTCGCACCAGTTCTCGGTATGAACACCGTGTTGGTACCGCAAGTAATCTGTGTTAACAATGTAAACTTTATTCATCTGATAATTTACATATTACTTTAGAAGCGGTAACCTTTCCGTAAGCGGAAGTTTCTAACGTGGGATCGCAACAAAATGGATAAGTACAAAGAAATTTCCACAAAACCACTTTTTGCCTCAACATTGTCATTTGTATTAAATTAATATGTTGTAGGCTAAGAAATTTATTTCCTTTAAGGATTTAATAAAATACACTTTATTAAACCCTTAAAGGAAATAAACGGTATGAACTTTGAAGATACCAATATACAGAAATTCTAAGTATTTTAGGCTTTCAGTGTTATCTTGTACACGGCACATAGCAACATGGAAAAATAATTGCACCTATTGAACGTTACCTGGCAGTATTTAGAAACAAAAATAACAATTCCAAAAAGTTTCCATTCGCTTATTTTGCTCTGTTTACGTTTAGTATTTCTGGGAAATAGTATGGCCCCATAAGTAGAAAGTAATCACCTTATAAAACTAAAGAACCACGGCGAGACAAAGCGTCGGACTTGGTAGGTTGTTGGCTCTGCACGCAATCGCGTGACGGCAAAAGGTCTACAATTAGACACCGACCGGCCGGCCCTCCAAGCCGCACGCGACCTTTGAGGAAGACGTGCTCGAGTGCCTCAAATAAAAGTAGTCTGTCTACTTTTTGGCAGCGTAATTAAAACAGGACTTTGATTAATTTACGGCCAAGATTGATTCATAATTGTTTTTTTCCTACTTTCTTTTGATGAGTTTTGCTGCCGTATTGTCTAACTCGGTACCTTTAATAGCATAATGGTATATGTTCGCCTACGATTTTATTTATAAGTGTCAGTAGTAAAAATAATAATATAGTTTTTATCTTAATTATTTTTCTAGTAAAAAAAAAACTTTAAACCTTTAGTTATTAAAATGTAGCAGTTTAATGCATAATTAGCAAGAAATCAGGTACTTAATATAGTTTCGTTTTAAGCTGTAATTATATAATATGCATCACCGGATGCGAATACTTTTGATTTGAAACGTTTGGAATGGAAATCAATTGAAGTGGGGCCGTTCGTGTTAACAAATGACACATGAAGGTAGCCTGCAATAAACTTTCCTTTAATGGCGAGCTTTGCGTTTACTCTGTATCGATCATAGGAACGTATAATGAAGTTCACACAGTTGTTGCAAACTAAGATTCAGCATATTAATATTTGTTTTTATTTATTTATTTATTTTTATTGATTATGTTGATTAATCGGGATTAGTTCATTTAAAATTGTTGAATACCTAAACTGACTATATCATTGGCTGTGGACAGTTTGGGATCGATCGTTGCGATCATCGAGGGAGGCCTATTCTAGCATTGGGAATCTTTAAACGAGGTTATATGATTACTTTTTTTGGAAAAACTGGCAACGAGCTCAGCTCAGCGAGTTGTTTGTCAAGTAAGTGGGCCGGAAAGAGCACAAAAGATTGATAAAGAAATTATACCCTCAGATGCCAGTCTTAAATACTAAAATCTATTGACGAGTGTGAATAAGATGGTTTCAGGCATTGTTGTAGGGGATGAGCTTACCGATTGCCGAATGTTGTGACATTGAGATGTAGCAATGGAAGTGATGCTTACACAGTTGTGTGTCTCTTATTCTCAAAATGACATAATTCAAATTCGTTTATTCAGTCTAGGCTGTTCAAGCGCTTGTGAATGTCGAAAAGCTACGCCATCGGTTCGTTCGCAAATCTATTGCGGGAGACCTTGTACTGAGAAGAACTGGCAAGAAACTCAGCAAGGGCGGTTTTTTTCTCCCTGTATTATATACAGAGTTGTCAAATTAAAAAAAATAATTTCAATATGAGATAACTCATGGAGTCACTTTCCATTACAAATGTAAATGATATAAATATTATGACTATAAAATAAAAAAATATAAAAAACTGATTTAACAAAGTTTAAGTTCAGGAATGTTGAGAAATGCCGTGTCCTACTGTTCCATATTCCACCTTTGATAATACAAGACACTTAAACTAATACACAATTATATTAATTACCCATCACAAGAGACATGTCGTGATTTATTCACCACTGCCTACGCTACGTTATGACTTTGCTTCCCAACATTTTAGAAATAAGCGTATCGTGCTGTTTATAACGAATTCTGTCGTAAACAAATATTCCAATTTCCCACTGGAATACCCAAGCCATATCAACATGTCTGGAGATAAAAGCGAAAATATAATTAATTCATTGATGATACCTCCTGGCGACGAAACACATAAATTATTTTAAATCCCCACCGACTGTGTATAAATCATGTGAAATGTGAATTTCGAGAAAAGAAACAGGGATAATGAAATGAGATAAAATTCGGAAGTGTTTTCTCGAAGACAAAAGGTAATTTCTGTTCTCTAGCGGACGTTGTAATTAAAACAAATACTTGATGTTGATGAATAGACGTGATTAATTAAAATAAATAGATTGGTGTAGCACCTCTTGTACAATAAGCGAAATTAAGAACAAAATATTGCCTGAAAGGATAAATATAATAGGATAAATCCTCCTAAAGTAGCTTAAAAATAATATTTTTTTATGTAAATATTGAAAGAGCTATTATGTTAATTATATTTTAATTTTTTAAGCATTTAGCTGCTTAATCCACGCGGTTCAGGCTTTATAAATTTCCGATTTGAAATTATGAATGATCCCTTCTGCTGCATAGATCGCGTGGATATTTTTCTAAAAAGTAATTAACTCTTTATAAACATGAAATTTATTTAAGCTATTATAATTATTATGTAGTAAGAATTATTTACTTATTTGATCTCACCTGGAGTGCATGGCTCAAATCTTCAACCCTTGTAGTCAGCACTCAACTTGATTATATTGCATATATGTTTTAATAAACGAAAATCAATAAAATCTGAGTGATTAATTTCAATGGCCAATAGCAAGTTCCATGAAAAAGAAGATAAAATTAATACGGCACGGTGCAATACACTCAATAGCAATTAAACCGAAACGTTAAAAGTCCCATCATTTTTGTATTCTGTAATTTGAAATTAACTAATACAGTTCATTTTTGCTTACAGGTTAAGGGAACAATAATGATGTCCAGTCAAATAAATATTTGAGGTGAGTTTAAAGTTTACCCACAAACATAAAACTACGAAAACTTTTAGGGTTCAATGGAGAATGGTGCTCAAGTAGATGTTGTCTATACCGACTACCAAAAATGTTTTGACAGAATAAATCATCAAGTATTGCTCTCCAAGCTCCTTTCTGCAGGCATACATGGCAATTTACTTCGTTGGTGTACGTCTTATATTGAAAATCGTAACCAAGCTGTAGTCCTACGAGATTATGTGTCGAGGTGGATAGATATACCATCTGGCGTGCCCCAAGGATCGATTTTAGGTCCACTTTTATTTATCATTTTTATTTTAGACATTAATAAATATTTCCTTAATTCTAAAATAATTTTATTTGCGGATGACATGAAGGTTTTAAAAGTAATTCGTAGTTCATTGGATGTTATCAAATTACAACAAGATCTACAACGGTTTGAGCAATACTGTCTTCTTAATAAGTTGGATCTTAATGTATCAAAATGTTTTTATATGACATTCACACGAAAAACGCATATAATAGAATCTGATTACAGATTTTTCAATCTCAGATTAGCCCGGGTTAACAAGATTAGAGATTTAGGTGTCATACATGACGCCAAACTAATGTTTAATGATCATATTGATCATATTGCTAGTAAAGCTTCTAAAGCTTTGGGGTTTGTAATGCGTATGTCCAGCGACTTCAATTCTATAAAAGCGATAAAAGTGTTGTACTGTGCCTTCGTACGCAGCCATATGGAATACGCCTCGCAGGTGTGGAATCCGATGTACAATATTTACATTACGCGCTTGGAGAAGGTACAAAGAAGATTTCTGCGATTTCTCGATTTTAAAGCCCGACAGTATTCTGCAAGTTACGAGCATCGTTGCAAGCGTTATCACTTTCTTCCTCTTCAAATTCGCCGTGAAGTAAATGACGCTTGTTTTATATCTAAACTTGCTAATGGCAGCATTGATTGCGCGGAGTTATTGTCGAAAATTGGTCTTCGTACTAATGTACTAAGTCTGCGTCGTCGCCAGTTGCTCAATGTACCCTTTGCTCACACAAACTATCGACACAACACATTCCTAATGCGTGGATGTGAAATTTACAACAAGTATAGTATTGAGAACGACTTTGACTTATTCTCGACAAGCCCAGCGACAGTCAGACGAGCTATAGCTTCGAATTATTTTAAATAGGCATTAATTAAATAAATGGGTATGCTCAATATTCAAACTGGCGTTTGTTTCCTTTCTGTTTTTTTTAAGTTAGTATAAATTGTTAGCTGTAATAAATATATTAAAATATGAATTATAAGCATGTAAGCATATTATAGTAGGATAAAATATTATGAGATAGTTATAGTTATATAAGCATGTTTAATATGTGGAGGTTTTTAATTGGCTTTTGGATATTGTTGTTTGTTTATTTAATAAGTCATTGATAGCTGTAAACCTTCCTAAAATAAAAAAAAAAAAAAAAAAAAAAAAAATATAAATGAATCGTCGAAAAGTATGTATACTTATATAATATATATTACTGTTCTTTATTGTCAGGACAAGATTTGAAGAAAAAAAACAACAAAAAAGACAACAGACTTGTTTTTAAAATCACTTTTAATGAAACATTACTGGCTATCTAAAAAAATCAATACGAAATTTCTTTTTAAATCTCATTTACAGTTACATAAAACATTGTAAAAATTTATGTGGTACTTAAACACCTACAGTTACATCAATAGTTACTTATCATATAAGAGTTCGATAAACTATTACACTAATATTATAAAGGCGAAAGTTTGTGAGTATGTGAGTGTGTATGTTTGTTACTTCTTCACGTCTAAACGGCTGGAACGATTTTAATAAAATTTGGTGTGGAGTTAGCTGATACCCTGAATTAACACATAGGCTACATTTTACTGCGGGAAAATATCTTATTTCGATGGGAAAATCGATGCAAATGAATTTTGTTTAAGTAGGTACATATTTTTTGACATTCATGTCAAAGCTATTTTGATAGATTTATATTTCATACATATTTCTAGGACAACGATATTGTTATAATTTTTTTGTGTATCTAATTATGACTCACAATTGTAAACCAAATCGTTCACAGAGCTCACAAAGAGCTTCATCCATGAAAATTGCAAGACAGCAAGAATCTACTTATGATACTGAAAAGCGCAGACGTGACCAAGCAACACGTCAGGCAGAAGTCAGAACTGGAGAAACTTCTGCGCAAGCTGATGCTCGGCGTCTGGAAAATCCTATCCGCATAGCTTCTCAGCGTGCATTAGAGACAACTGATGAGGCAGCTTTTCCACGTCAAGAAAACGCACAGCCTATGGCCACACAGTGATCCAATCAAACACCTTATGAAGCAACTTCTCGAATGCGAGAGCATGCCCAGTTTATGGCTAATCAGCGTGCATTAGAGACACATGAAGAAGCAGCTACTTGGCATCAAGAAAACGCATAGCATATGTCCACTCAGCGTGCCATTGAAACACCTGATGAAGAAACTTCTCGACGGCTAAATCATGCCCAGCTAATGTCTAATCCGCGTGCTTCCGAGACAGTAGATGAGACAAATTCTAGACGACTCGCAGTCGCTCAGCATCAAGCAGAGTGCCGGCAAACATTTGCCATAAATGCTTGGGGGTTATTTGAAAAATGTGGTTTTGAATATGACTTGACATTGGATTACAATAGCCACAGGCTCATTAAAATTTGCCGTATGGAAAATGTGTCACCATTGTGGGGCATTAAAATGGAGTGAGGAAAGAGCGGGAATGAGTTGCTCTGGGGGCAAAGTAGCCATTCCTGTTTTAGAAGAGCCTGTGGAACCCTTAAATACATTATTTACAGGTAAAATTGATGAATCTTGACGGTTCTAAAACTGCGTACAACCCATGCTTTTACATGTCGTCGTTCGGGGCGGACAAAGGACAATGGCGAACTCCCATACAATTTTTTGTTGAAATTTTTTCTTGCGTCTATAAATGAATTGCATGTTAAATTATAGAGTTTACATTCTTGATTTGATTCATCTTATTTCTTATATTATAGGAAGTCTGGATTTATAGATATTCTACTTTGAAGTTTTGGAGGTTATGTGCTACCAAGTAATGCAAAAACGAATTATAAAAGTTATTTCAAGAGTATTTTTATATCAAAATAAAAAATACGTGGAACGGAACTATAGAAGTACACCGGTCCTGAAAAAATGTTTTTTACAATGTATGATCAGTTGGCTTTCTTTCTTTCTTTCTTTGGCGTAGGTACTGGACCAACCGCGTCAAAATACTTATTATCAGACAAGAGTTATTGAGTTATACAATGTCTGTGCTGTAAGAAGTACTTAACAATTTGAAAATGCCCACTGCAATAATAAAGTATAAAAAAGGATTTCTAATAATGTACTAATGGGATATTAATTAAATATGCAACACATTTTATATATTTTTTATTCCACATCGTTGATCACAATATCGTAGATAGTAGATACAATGAAATAAAATCCACAGTATGGGACAGAATCGTATCCAAAATCCACAGTAAAATATCAGATTCGGAAGTCTTAGGCAAGCACTACTCAACAGTCGCAGAGAAAGATTTCGAAAGTCCAAAGACTTGGACTGTAGTCCAAGTCACATAAAAAAACAAATCACAGAAAAACACACGCCGATTGAAATCTTTGTAATATGCATGCACCTAAGCACAAACAATGTTATTTAATGAATTCGATGACAAGCATGACAGTGACAGTTATAGTTTTTTTTCGTTAGAAATTTGTCGCCATACTCTTTTTGTATTGTGGAGATTATTTAATATGGTTTCAGTATAATATTGAAAAATAATGTTTCCCGATATTTTTGATAGATAATTAAATACAGTTCAAGCGTAAAGCGATGCAAAACATACGAACAACATATTTAAAGTTGATTTCATCACTAAAATCACTTAAAATGAATGGCTCAAAAGCCATCATGGCCAAGCCACAATAAAAATAAAAAATAAATAGCCAATTGTGTTTCCCTTATTTTAAGTTTTTAATTCCAGACTTAGACAACCCTCCTCAATTGTTTAATAAATCTTTTGAGATTATTTTATTAACATTTCTGATAATGACATCTATAGACGCTATAGATTTACTTCAACAAATATTTCGCCATTGTCACAGTGCATGGCCAACTACATCACAATATGGGTGATGATCACCTAATGAACAGCCACAATTTTTACAGGTGTATTTTATGGGAGACGACGGCGCGGAAACTGACAAACGGTGTCAAATCATTCAAGGTATGGAGCGAGCAACTGTGCCAGGAAGACGAGTTTGCTCGCACGTGGAATGCGTCACGAAAACAATGGAAGGTTGCGTGCAGGGCGCACCCGTCGACGGTTCCGGAATCCGGGGTCCTACCAGTTTTCAAGCGCTCAAAATCGCCGATGGGCAGGAAAAGGCCACTTTTCAAGAAGCATGTGAGGCGATGAAGCTGCTTGAAGACGACGGCCACTGGGACGCAACGATGGAGTGCGCAATGTTGTGCCGGTCAGCGACTACGTTGAGAGAGCTCTTTGCGATTATGATAAGCACCTGCGGACTCTCCAACCCCCGGCAATTGTGGTACAAGTATAAAAAGCGCTTTGTCAGAAGACATTGCTCGCCGATACCAAGGGATCATCATCATCAGCCTATTAATGTCCCCACTGCTGGGGCACAGGCCTTCCCTATGGATGGAATAGGGAGATTGGGCCATGACCCACCGCGCGAGCCCAGTGCGGATTGGTGGGTGCTAACGACTTCAGATGCAGCCGGGACCAACGGCTTAACGTGCCTTCCGAAGCACGGAGGAGCTCGAGATAGTAAATTTTTGGTCACCCATCCAATGACCGACCACTGCGAAAGTTGCTTAACTTCAACGATCGCAGCTAAACGCGCTAACCACTTGCGCTATCGAGCTCCTCGACAATGGATAACACTAGACATAATTTTTAAAGAAGCGCTGAAAGTCTTTT